GCAACGGGGGAGGCTGGGGCCAAATTTTTGTAGCCCACAGACCCTAACCCAATTCACTCTGTTAGTACTAGTGTATGGGTTCTATGCCATTCTCCCTCTCGAAGTGTGGGTTCCTTTACTCAGAATTGCTATCTAAAATCAAATTAGAACTAAATAGAATGCAAGAATCTGACTAGAAGAGCTCGAAGGCCTTAAAAAGCATCATCTCCAAGCTCAATAGAGTCTAAAATTACATAAGTCCTGAATGGTTCAAGCTCATAATAAGTTAGTATGACCTACAACCTTCCAAGTATGAGACTTAGTCATGGTTCTTCATAGGCCTGTTTTAGCTCACCAAAAGATTGGCGAGAAGTTTGAACTGACATGGGAAAGACCCTTAATCATAGAAACAATCTACGAAGGGGGCTCGTATCATCTAGGTGAATTTAAAGGAAATCATCCAATGTTGCTAGTCAATGGGTGACTCCTTAAAAAATATTATGTTTGATGTAGCTTAACTTTTGAATCGATAAAAATATTTATAAGTTTTGAATCATTTTGAATTTCTCTCATTTAACTCTTAAATCTTAAAATCAATTTATCTTCCTTAGGCATAGGTTTCCCCTTTCCATGTGTTAGAATCTACTGGTGATAAAACATGCCTTTCAAGGCACCATCCTAATATCAACTTTAATCTATCTATTAGGTGTAAGTCCTCTTCAATCAAACTTGGGCCTTGAGTTTAGTTGATCTCAAAGCCCAATCACACTGAATTTGAGCCCAAGATGGACCTTCGAAGGTGGTTAATCAAACCACCTACGGTAACCACAAGGTAGGTCACCTTCAAGATTTAACATGGGCTACCTAGACTAAGGATTGGGGTGTAATTAGAGGCCATCTAACCCTTACACTAAGCACAATTAACAAACCAAAGTATAATTTCTAATTACCATTGGAAAGGTAATTAGGTTGGGTTGAATTAAAGATTCAAACCATTACCCTTAAAATTAAATTAACCGAACCATGCCCTTAATCAAATCAAATAGGAGAGAGAAATTTTGGACATGTCAGAGACATGCCCAAAATTGATCTCCCAAGGTTTCATGCCATGGTGAAATGTCCTTAAACCATAATTGCAAAAAAATACCCTTAAAGCTATTATTATTGAAACCACAAGGCTTTGATAGGTATATTCAAGACCTTTGCAATGAGCCTAAGAATATCTAAATTGGCCAAATAGATGAGGAGATATGATTTTTCAAAGTTTCCTTTGATTTCTGGAATTAATAAACAAGGATTTATATAGTCAGCTAGCACATTCCACATGGGCGCCTCCTGATTGGTCAGTCAATCATTATAGTAGACTATATAAATGAGGAATTAACTGTAGCTGTTGGATGATAGATCGAACGGTCATGATTAAATCATCTCAGAAACTGCGAGATATAATCTCCATCATTGATTCAAATCAATGGACGAGATTATGTCTTGATCCTCCCACAGGCATTCGGATGTGTAGGCTTTCTCCAGCATGATGCAAGATATCCCGTTGGCAAATTTCAACCAAAATTTACAAGAAGGATCTAAACGATGCAAACTGTCAATCCAATGGTCAAAGTCTAGTGGTCTGGCTGTTTGCTTCACACTTGGCTGCTGCCTCCTAACTAAGAGCTTGGGATTGGATTTATACCTCAGAGAAAGTCTCAATGAATGAGCTCCTCAATCAGGAAGATTGAGAGGAAGATGGAGACCATGTTTCCTTCAGATGTTGTGACTGGAGGATCACTGAAGGTATGTCTTCGAGTGGAGGGCAAAAGAATCTTGCCGAAGCTCACTCAAACTCGGCTCTAGAGTGGCTAGGAAGCTATAGAAGAGAATTGGAATGCTCGGAGAACTCTGAGAATTCTTTTTGGATTGCTAGAGGCAAATGAAAGGGTTTGAAACAAGTTGCTCTATTCAAGTATTACTCGCAGCCTTGGACGTCGAGGATTTTCCATGCAAGCTGTTAAATGGCTGCCAGCTAGTAGGAGACAAGTTGTGGTGACCCTTAGAGCTTGAAGGAAGTGAACTCAGAGCTTGGCAAAGTTTTAGCGAGGGAGCGTGAGGAGAGGACCCCAATAACTTATTTTTCATGCATTCCAACTGCCGCCAACCACTGGTTGGTTCAAGACGAAGTGAAAAACTCATTGAGGGTTAAACGAGCATGATTGAGGAGTTAATTGGCCATTATGAGGTCCAATTCACCACTATGGATCAGGCTGCCCCAAACCTGTATGGTTTGGTTTGATTTGGGTGCAACCTAATTCAAGTTAGGTGGTGGGATTGATGTTGGAGGTGTGTTGAGTCAAGGGCTACCAAATGCAAGTGGAAATTGAGTTTGATTTGGACTATGGTAAGAATTAGCTCAAATTAAAGTGCTTTTAATCACTTTGGGCTAGCCTAAGTCTTGACCCAAGTCAAGACAAGGGCTGGGCTGGATGCATTGGGTATAGGGCTACCCAATGGAAGTGTTGTATTTGGTCTAGTGGGCCCTTGATTTGGAAATGGCTCAAGTCAAGGTGAATATGGGCACCCAATTCCTAGCCTAAGTTAACCCAAGGGCTAAGCCAGCTAGGGTAGGTGCATTGGACCATGGCCCAATGCAACCCTTAGTTTGAATTGATTTGGCTTGGGTTAAGATTTGGCTCATGCAGGGCCCTATTTGGACACTTGGGTCAAGCCATGTGGCTAACCCAAGTGGGCCAAAGGCTTGGGCCTTTAAAGAGAATCTGCTAAGGACCTAATAGGTCAATCCATGAGTTTGAATTGACTTTAAAATGGCTTGGCCAAAGGGATTGAAGTGTATAAAGGTGTATGCATAATTTGGTCAAACTTGGTTGACTTGGTCAACCAAGTTGACCAAGGCTTAGGGCTAGGTCCATTAAGTTTGGATTCGTGATTTGAATCTAATGGAAGTGATCCCAAGTGGTAAGGAGGTCATTTGGGTTGAAATGCATGTTTAAAATCTTAAAGGGTACTTTAGTCAACCACAATTGACTTGACCAACTTGGTCAAACCAAAGCTTGAGTTTGGGTTCAATGCATTCCTGATGATGTTTAGGATTCATTGGAGGAGGTTTCAAGGATTGAATTGATTGTTCCATGTTGAGTTTAGGGAAAAGTCCAAATTTGCTCTTAAAGGGCATTTTAGTCATTTTAGCCCCTGTTCAACTTTGGGTCAAACTAAGTCAAGAAAAATGCATTTTACTGGTCAACATGTCATAAGGAAGGCTATGGACATGGTCAAAGGTTTTGGGGAGGTCCCAAGGTCAAATTCCTTAAAATGGCAAGTCTAGTAACATATGTTATAAATATCTAAAGGTTTTACAACATTTGGATTTAAATTCAATTTTTGGGATTAGAGGCCTCATATTGGGCTCAAATTTGAAGGGTTGAGCCTAAGAACATGCCCAATTAATATGCAATTGATAACTCATGAATCAAGGGTCATTTGACTATATTTTGAAGTGACTAAAAAACCACCAAGAAAGGGTTTCAGGACCTGGGCCCTTAACCTTGAATTTTGGTATGGAATTCTAAATTTGGACTAGATTTTGGATTTGAATGATTGAATTTGAATTACCCACATCCATCACAATCAAATTAATGGTTGAGATTGATTGGATATGATTTAAAGTTTGATTGAGTGTCTGAATTGAAAGTTGATTGAGGATTGAATTGAAATGTGGCTGAAAACTAGATGATTGACAACTAGCTAATTATCAACCATCAGATCAACACAGAGTCTTGAATGGATCCTTTTGTCCTCATACAAAAATGAGGTCAACAGTTCCTAACTTGAGGCATGTAAAGGTGATTCCTTCAAAGTGGTGCTGAACAAGTGGCACTTTTAATGCATTGTTGAGATCCAACAAGGAGGCAATTAGCACAAAGTAAGCCACATGATTAGCAAAGTCCTTCCTCATAAGATTCAAGAAAGGAAATTTTGAATTTTGATGGAGGCTTTGTTTCCGAGATTTCTTTGGAGAATGCATTTGTCAATTGGGGCATCCTCTTAAACCCATTGGGGAGGGGAGTGGATTTTTTGTTGCTATATGGTTAATACATTTCTTCTATTATGAAAGCTCTCACACTTGCTGGTTCCTTTTAAACGATTAATTATAATGATTCTTCTACCATCTCCACTCTCAAAGTGGTTCCAGGAACAAACATCAAAGCTTCCTAATCATCTCCATGATTCTCTCTTCCATTTCCATCAATTACTTGCTTGTGCCATTAAAAACTGAAAGTAATTTAGTTCATATTGTCCTCTTCCATAACAAATGGCACTTATATAATGCAAAGCAAACATATTAAGGCAGCTTCAACGAACTAAACAATTACAAGTCAATGTGGATTCACAACAGGTAGGTTGTGAATATCTTAATTTTAATTTGTTGGTGCACCTTCCATTAGCAGTTTATTATTTGTATTTGCTTATCTAGTTTCAATAAATAAATAATTATATATAAAGACAACATGTTTGCTTCCCCCATTTTAAGAGCAAGAGATGGCTTTCTTATTGCTTATAAGGAGGCTTTTTAGTACAAAAAATTAATGAACTATAAATTTTTGTACTAAAAAGCTGCTTTAAAACACAATAAAAAAGACATTCCAAACAAAACCTAAGATTTTCACATCAAAATCAGCATCTTTCACAAGATCATCGCAATAAGCACAAACATGACATGATATCATTGAATTTTCATGAATCAAAATGATAATATCTTTCCAGAAAAGTAATGCAGCCACAGTCCACACCATAGAAAAGGTGAAAAGCTGCACCAGACAGTTTCCATAAGATATTTATTTTCCTGCCAAATGGCGTATTTGCTACCACCACAAATAAAATAAAAAATAAAAAATAAAAAAAACGTCTGAGCAAATATTCATCCACATGAAAAAATAATAATAATAATGTAAATACGGTCAACAAGCTTAAATAATTGCTAACCAATTCAATAGAATATTTGGAAATGCCCTTATTTGCAATTACATACAACATATCCTTACTATGAATTTACAGGTATTACCTTCTGCATAAATTTCGACCATGAATAGAATGCTTTGATCCAGCTAAATCAAGAGAGGCACAACTTGTTCGCTTCACCGAGCTGAAAATTTGGGCATTAAAATGGTTGTAGGATCTGCAGAAGATGATCCAGTGTAGCTGATTACGGCGTCGCGAACCTTGCCAGGGCTTTCTATGAAAGCAGGCCTTGAGAGACTGAGGTGAAGAGAATGTTGGCTCAGGAGTAACACCACAACTTCAGACATTGTTGGCCTTAATGAGACTGTTTGGGTGCAAAGTAGAGCTATTGTAATGACTCTCACCACTTCTTCAAGATCATATTCATTAGGATCCAAGGATTTGTCAATCAAATTGGGCAAATTATCATGTTCGTACAGTTTCCAGGCCTGTACTAACCAAAAGAGAAAAGAGTGGTATTTCAAAATCAAGCAAGTTCAGAGACTTGGCATAAAGTGATTAGTGTTAGACTAATTATGGATTAAGTATACTTATATAGACTAACTAAAAATGCACTTGTTATGCAACTAATTAATTGGCCTATGTAATTAGAAATAAATTAATGATAAAATAATAATTTAAGGTATATTATGCTTTAAATAGGATAATTATTGCTTAAATGGACTAATTATGAATTCATTAGCTTAATTAAGTTAATTAAATATAGATTAACTATTGACTAATTAATTAGAAGAATTGTTAAGAATGATTTAATGATAAAAAATATAAGTTTTTATAACTCTTTTGTGATGCTATTAATACTTACTAGCATAAGTTAATCGGAACTAAGCTGCATTAACTATAACATTATCCTTGTTCTAGAGGACAGCATGAGTGCATCATTCTAGAGGCTCTTTTGATTGTATAAAAAAATCCAAGGACAAGTTCAGAAAATAATTTACCAATTCAAGAAGATGCTGAGGTACATGTTCAAGCTTTGAATCACAGCTCCTCTGTCCACTTATAATTTCTAGGACAACAATACCAAAGCTGTACGCATCAACTTTCTCAGTCAAGTCACCATGAATAACATACTCAGGTGCTATGTATCCCCTGCCCAGAAGCGTTTAAACAATCACATACTGATATTTCCAATATGATGTTTAATCTATAATGCACAAAATGAAGCGCCTAAACATACAATGTTCCAGCAAAATAGGTGCTGAGATGACTCTGATCTCCAGGCATAAGCCTTGCAAGCCCAAAATCTGCAATCTTTGGCCTGAAATTGTCATCAAGGAGTACATTGCTAGATTTTATGTCACGATGAATGATGCAGACATGAAATTCATGATGCAGATACGCAAGTCCTCTGGCCATGCCAACAACTATATCAAATCTCTGTTTCCAGTTGAGCATTCCACTCATTTCGCCTGCCAAGAACAAAAGAATATTATATGCCATGAGTGAGGCATGCATTGAGGTAGAATATGTACAAGTATAAAAACAAATTTTATTTAGGTTCTCAGACCCAAAGAATTATACTTAGATACTTATGTCGTTTCCTCACAAATAACATATCATTAAACCTCAGATATGATTTCTTAAGAAAACTCAATTTTAAGTCATTAGAGAAGTTGAATATGTTAAGTAATCCCACCGTTACAAGATCAGATTGTAGGAATGTAGATTCAATGGAACAAAAACATTAGGGCTAAAAATTACAATATACAAATGTATTGGACAATATATGTATGTCTAGAAAAAATAAAACAAAATAAGTTGATCATGTTTCTAAAGTTGAATCACAGTTCCTTTCCACTGACATTTCCTTACACAATTTCTGCAGTAATCTTAAAATTCATTCTGACCAATTATAATTAACAAAAAAGGTTAATAATTTGGGTATTGAGACTCTCCAGGCTAGTTCAAGTGATTGAGAGACCACTCATCTATGCACCAACTTCTTCCTAGTAGACTTTACAATGTTAGAACCCTTCAGCACTAGATATGCGCCTTTTAGGCATTTGCGTCTATCTTATTGCTGTGGCCCAACCAGGATGGCAAATGGGCAGGGTGGAAAATGGGTTGTCCAATTAGACTTTTCTAAGCCTGTCATGGAGTTGAGCTATCCCAGGTTATGATGGGATTTCGGGCTACCCATTAAATCACATTTAGAGCTATTTAAAGTACAAAAAACATAGTAATGATGGCAACTCATGTATTAATTGGACATGTTCTCTAGTATTTTAAAAAGGCAGTTAAGGCTAACTCATTATTGAAAGGTTTCAAGTTTCAACCAAGTCCATTGAACTCCAATCAAACAAAATGGAGTTCAAAATTCTTAACATGATATGAATTGTTAATTACTACACACTGTATTAATATTTCCATTCACTACTGTTGTAACTCCACTATGTCATTGTCCTAATGTTTACAAGTACTGTTTTCACATTAATTCCCCTCTCACATTATTATTGTCTTCCGCAACATTCTAGCAATTGATGTTAGTGGTGTTTGATGCTCCTAACCATTTCCACCGCCTCACTTTGTTGCTACCTGCAAAGTGCTGCTTTTCAATAGTTTCCCACCACACTGTGCCGCCTCCACTACTAGCCTTTCGTGCAAAATAACTGTTTCTATCTTTCTGTTCCTAGGCCTTCGCATATTAAAAATATTGTAATTCTAATCAGTCCCACGTCAAGGTCTTCTGTTGCTCACAATTTTAAGAAAAATTTCTTTTTTTGTTTGAATCATTATACAATTATGGAAGTAGAATTTATGACGAAGTTCATAATATTAGAATTAATGTCAGATGTATTGAAATCTGCTATTTTGGGCATATTTCTACATATTTAATGTATTTCATTATTTCGGATCCTTTGAAATCTATAAATAGAACCCCAAGCATTTAAAATTTATCGGGCATTAAGTGTTGAAATAAAATTCTAGTTTTTCTTTCTTTGGGGCATGTTTGTTAGATGTGAGTTCTTTTAGTGCTTCATAGATATGGATAAGCACTTTTGGGAGTAGACTCCTTGTACTAGTGTGAGGCACAATTTTTCCATTTGTTGTGATTTTTATCCTTATTCTTGCCTTTTAAATTATTTATACATTGGTTGTGTAGTATTTGAAATTGCCAAGTAAGATATATATTTGGTGTTCATTTTGAAGTGTAAACTTGATTAAATATTGAAATTATATGTTCAACATTAGTTTTGTTGTAGGATTTTAAATTTGAGCAATTATTAAATTATTTTATTGAATAAGAAAAGCTTGTTTGTTGTCCTTACATTAAAAGTGGTAATATTTTACTGAAAATATGAATCAATAATCAATGAATTGTGATTTTTATCTTGCATCTCATCCTAACTTGCATTAGGCACTGAAGATCTTAATGTCCCTACATCAACAGGGGACATGGTGGAGTTTAACTTGTAAGCTAAGACTCAAAATAAAAAATAAAAAATAAAATAAAAGTCTATACTTTTAAGTTTTGAGGTCATAGATCAATTTCTTCATATTTGCTAAAAAAATCCATAATGTATCAACAGAAGGTCAATTACTTTGAATGCTACAAATTAAAAATATTAACCAATCATCACAACTTAAAAAAATATTTTGTTTCAAAATTTCATAGGATAAAGTGCTTTAGATCCCAAAATTAAATAAACAAAAGCACAAATTGTGTGCCCATAATGCACATCTAAGCTTTTGTATGTCATTCTATTCTTTACAGAAATTGTGCTTGCAAACCATAACTTACGTCTTGCTTTTGAAGGTTAGGGCATTATACGTATGGATATAGACAATGATGTAATTCTTTTTCTTAGCTATTATAACTTCTTTAAATTGATAAAAATGATGGCCTTGCTAGAGAACAATGTTTATATATATATAAAGTGAAGGAGGAGAAGACTACTGAACAGAAGTGTAACATTGTAATAAGAAATAAAAGTGTTAGTTCCCTGCTTATCTATATCTAGTCTTATACCTACTATTGTATGCACAACTTCCAATTAACAAAATTATTTATATAGACTTATCAAAAATAAAATAAAAGTGTTAACGTACTTGTCCATAAAATTTCAAAGAAATCATATAATTGTTAATAGATAATTCTAATCCATCTTCCAAAGCGTTTTGCTAAAGCACCCATTTCATACTAATGCCAACCAAGTCTTAAGATTAATGCAATGTTTGGATCCTGAGAAGTTGATGAAATGAATGACAAAAGGGTTGAAAGTTCAAATCAATGCCTATGGAATATGGATTCATCATCAACCAATGAATTATTGGGATTTCATTGCATTTCCCTTGCTTTCCTTCAATTCCAACAAAGCACAAATTTTATGCGTAAACAAGGTTATCATTTCTAAAATAATTAGATAATTCATGAAATGAGATCAGTAATAGTTAAAGGGAATAGTCGCATGATTACCTTCCGAGAAGATAGTTCTATATAATGAAGCATTGCATGTAAAACTTTCCACTAAAAAGAGTATAATGCATTAGAACATTGATGATGGGGTTTCACATGATCAAGCGTGTGGTCAACTGAACAGGTGAAGGCGGATGTTCAAGATTACATGTAAAATCTTGAATTTTTTGTCATACAACTATACAAGCATTTCATAGAGATGGCAATTATTGATTAGGCAACGTACAAGTCAAATCCTAAAGATGTCTCTTCAATCTAAATCATAATAAGAAAAAGGAAACGGAAGAATATATTGCAGCTCTGATTTTAGCGAAGAATCTGAAAGGATTATTACCATATAAGAACTTATCAAGACTGCCATTTGCCATGTATTCATAAACAAGTAACAGCTCATCGCTTTTGGTAGAACATCCAAGCAATCGAAGTAAATTCTGATGATGAACATTACTTATAAGCTTCACTTCACTCAGGAAGCTTGATTTCACATTCTTTGATTGAGTCATTGCTAACTTCTTCACAGCAATTATTTTGCCATTCTTCAGTGTGCCCTGCAAGAAAAATACTACTTTAAATATCATAATGACAGCAGGCATAAATCATATTTTATATTGCATCTTTTTATGGAAATTGTTGGAGGGGAAATAGTATTAGATTCTTTGCATAAATGTTTGAACAGAATTGTAAATTAATTCTTGCGCCAGAAATATCTAAAAAAGCTGCAATGTCTATTTTGCATAAGTTGTACCTTGTACACTTGACCAAATCCTCCTTCTCCTAATTTGCATTCTTTGCTAAAATTATTTGTTGCAGATTTCAGATCACGGTAATGAAAATTCATAGGACCTCGAAGCTCTGTTGCCCCCAATATATCTGCTGCACTAAGCAAAAAATATAGTTCATTCAAATGCTCAAGGAAAATATGTTTAAAATAAAATGCCCAACTATCTAGAGAACCTATATAATATAATATAATATAACATAACATAATATAATATCCAATATAAACCTGTAATTAGTTGGCATCATTCTTTTCCAATTTCCATCACCTCACTAATTTACGTAGTTCGTCGAGTCATGTACATTGACTAATTCAGAGAGAGAGAGAGAGAACTTCTATACTTTTCCATGCTTGCCTAGAGAACCTCTCGTTTTTCCTTGCGTTTCCCCTTAAGGGACTGATCCATTCAAACAACTAAGAGGTCCATGTAATACATTGTATGGTGACCTCACTTATCATATTAACTCTGCTGCAGCTTGTTTCGTCTTTTATACAAGCAAAATTATTTAATCCCTTCTCTGTTTCTCTGTCTGTGGAAGAAATAGGAGCTTGGCCAACCCTTTTTGTCTATTTTCCATAAAGAAAATCTCCAATAGCTCTTCCTTTGTCTTCTCTTTCGTCTCCTCCCACTCTTTTGTGCAGGCAAAGCTTTTAACCTTTTAATCATGCTCTCTCTCTCTCTCTCTCTCTCTCTCTCTCTCTCTCTCTCTCTCTCTCTCTCTCTCTCTCTTTTTATCCACAAGAAAAACAGTGTTCCTATTAACCTCCAGGCAAGTGTAAGATGAGTAAAAATGGGACTAAGCTTGATGGTTTCATGGAGCAACCTTTGCACTTAAAACATTTTTAAAGGGAGAAAATAATGCTTAAGGGCAGTGCTTATGCACATCTTATGATAAATTTGGACACTGCCTCTACACTGGCTTAAGAAAAGAGGTGACAATCTTACCAAACTAAGAGCTAACATGGCACAAGTTATCCTTATGGACATCTTCGAAACAAATAATTTGGCATAGAAAAATATTTGAGAAGCAGAATCTGGAGTTGCTAAATATAATCAGGGAGAAAATAATTTATAGGCATAGACCAGAATATAAGAAGGTGAACAGGTGATCCTAGGCTTGTAACCATCATTGGCAAAGGCAAAGTTACTCTAAAACTATCCACACTCCCTTATATATTTTATGCCACAAATCTATTGGAACCTTGTGTCTATTTTTATTTCAGTCAAAGTGGGTGCTAAAGACCTTTGATGCTGAAAAAGTCGTAATATAAAATAGGTGTTTGCCGTAAAGGGGTATTTACCTTGTGATTTACTTCATTTGAACCTACTTGAAAATATACATAAAAGTTCTTCTTTTGTTTAGTTGCTTGACTCATTCATTTATGGCAGGATCATGATTGACATGAATTTCCCTTACACTAAGAGAATGCATGAAGTTGGAATTTTGAAAAATTGTGTTCAGTGAAACTAGAAAAATGCCATATATGTGTGGAACAAAGCAAAGCAAAAAATACTTGCAAACTTGTGCATTAAAATGAAATTAAGTTGCTTGGTTTGATCCATTCTGATTTGGGTTACATGAAATCCACATTTGCTAGAAGTGGAAAAGGATATTGTATTACTTCCCATAATGATTATTTTAGGTGCACTAAACTCTATCTGCTTAGAAGGTGAATCAGAGGAGAAAGAAATTCAAAATCTATAGAGTCGAGTTTGAAAATAAATTAGATAGAAAAAACAAAAAGATATTTTGTCTTGTTAGAGGAGGAGAATATAAATTTAGCTCTCTAAACTCCTACGAAGAACATGGAACAATTCAATAGGTAACTATCAATGACTATCTAATAGAGTACCAGAAAGAAAAATATGACCTTTTAAGAGAATATGAAAACCATCTTACTTGGTTCAGAAGCACCTAATAATTGTTAAAAGGTCATCTTGTATAGCGATCAAATCCAACATTGTATAATTTTTAAAAATAAGGGCAAAACTACGTACACAATTTAAGAGAAATGATGTTGAAAAATGTTTTTATTCTAAAATATTTAAATTTTTGTATATTTTAACACAGCTTTATAAGACTACTTGATGCAAATTAAATGTTGAAAAAAAAATTTCAGATGAAAGTGTTTCTCAGCATAAGTATACATAAATAAATGATATTATGATAAATCTTACGAACTGCTCTAGGCTTAACATCGCATATGTTGAGAAAAGATTGAGCATATATACTCACAATCTTGATAAGATTATTCGATTGGCTTATGCAGGGTACTTAAATATTTGAAAGGTACCATGCATTTCTAATTAAATTTTTTATGGTTTTCCAAGCTAATGGTGCTGCTGATTGGATATCAAATTCAAATGAGACCATTCACTCGTGGTTTTTTTCATCACTAGTGGGGTAGGTTCAATTTAATGGGAATCATTTAAGCAAACATTTGGTTCACTGTAGAGTTTGAGTTTATTTCCTTTGAAAAGACAGGTAATGAGGCTAATTGTCCTAGAAACCTATTGGAAGATAATAAGATATATCTATGAGAAGATTCTAATTTCTTCTATATATTTCATTGTAATTTCATGCTTCCAAAATAAATAACAAAACCTATAATGTGAAGAGCAGACATATTCACCAAAGAAATACTATTATTAGACAATTATTGAATGAAGAGTAATTTCAATGAATTTTGTGAGATCAGAGATGAGCTTAGTAGATTTTTATCAAAGCCTCAACAAGAAACTAGTGGAAATATATTAAGGGATAAGACTCATGTCTAATCTAGAAGTTCACAAGGATGGCAACCCAACCTATAAGAATGTTAATCCCATGAAATAGGTTCATAAGGGTACTAACAAAACTTTGGATAATTTGATGAAGAATTATTCCCAAATTATCAGAAGAGATTATTTCCTAGGGTGCTAAATATATTACAGCTTTAATGAAGAAGTTTAAACAATCTCTTAACAAATTATATAATCCTAAGTTTAAAATTTTGGAAGCACTTACTTGTAGCACACACTTTGATAGTATCAGCAATCTGATTATGAAACAAAGTTCACTTCCTGCAAGATCTTAAGCTCTCTACAGCAATCATATATATCCAGGAATAGAGGCCATCCTATTACTCTCTAGTTTCCAGAAAATAAGAAGCGGCCTTTTTTTCTGTGAAACATTCACCCTTATTTTATGTTCAAGTATCCCTGATTCCTCTCATCCAAAATAAGTGAAATTATTCTTGTTTATCAAAAACACAAACCAGCTACCAAGGAAGTGTTTATCCCATTTATTTCCTTACATTTTCGACAGAAAAGGCTACCAGTGACACAGCTGCGAAATGCCTAGAATAAAAATTGGTTTCTATTTCATCTTATCAAAAGGTTGCATCAGGACCATCACATACTTTGCTAAAGCACTTTAAAAGAGCTTGTCTGCACCTAAACAAATTTAATATAACTCAAAACTTTCCAATTTTAAGAAAATGGCAGGTTGCTAAAAAAGGAGCTAGAATAACAAAATTTACCTCTCCAACTTTCTTGGGGCCTTTTCCTTCTTCTTACCCAGACCAGAACCAGAAGAAGAGTCAGAAACACCAGCGCGCAAACTACAGCCACTCCGATGATAATAGAGGTATTCTTCTTCCTCTTATGCCCTGCTCCAAATTTTAACGAACACAAGTCAATCAAGCCGCGTCAAAACCATAAAATTTTTTTTTTCAACAAATTCGCAAAAATTGCAAACATAAATCAAATACCGGAGCTCAAGTACGCCGAAAGATCCACCGTATTGTTTGCGGAGAAAAAGGCCTCCCCTGAATACCTCATGAAGCAACCAGCATCTATGGCCCGCCCTTCCCATGACGGCAAGCACCCTTTTATGTTGTTGAAAGCCACCTGCAGGCAATCCGAGCAGACCAGCTTGCTCACCGTAGGCGCACACTGCGCCACCGCATAGACTCCTCCCCTAACCTCATCGACGAAGTACCCCGCGATGTTTGGAGTGGCCGAACTCATATCTTGTAGCAACCCTTCCGCGACGGAGGTAAAACCGCCAGCTGAAGCAGTTCCGTTGACGCAGACCGGTGCGTTTCCAGGTAACGTGCCCTGCTCGAAGAAGGGCGCGCTCTCGTAGCGCAGATTGCAGCCATCGTAGATGACACGGCCGCCGGTACCCGAACCGCAGGCCCGCAAGCGTGCCGCCGCCGAGGTTAAACAACCGAGACAGTCACCGCGGGATAGGTAACCCCGGCAGAAAGCAAGGGCGTACACCGGCGTTACCGAGCGAGCGTTCCCCGCCGTCGCGAAGAGAGCTCCGCCACCATCTGATGCAGAGATATGGGATAAGAGATCGGAGATGGTAGCGTTGAGATTGGTGATAAAGAGGGAGGGATTGGTTGCGTTGTAGTTGCTGCAGCCGAGGTTGAGGAGTTTGGTTTGAGGGTCGGCCCTCACAGAAATCGATAGGGTGAGAAGGAAGCAAAATGGAATCAGAATGGTTTCGTTGAATAGGCCCCACATTGTTATCGTAGGGGAAAGCTCTTCTTGCCGGCGGTGGTAAGGCAGCGAAGGACGACGAAGGAGAAGAGGAGAGAGAGCGAGAGAGAGAGAGAGAGAGAGAGTTTGAAGAGTCAAAACTTGGCGAGCTGGAGCGGAAGGAGAAGGTCTTAGCGCGAAAAACCATTTTAGATGAACTTTGGCGGGCCGGACCGGAGGGTTTTATTTAAAATATGAACCGGTTTAATTTTGACCAAAACTTAGTCTGAACGGTATACAAATCAATTTTCTAAGTGTTGCTTTGAATCACGGGTTTGCTCTCATCCCACTATCATAAACTCGAACTTTTATTTTATCCAGTGAACGTACGCTCCTCTATGTTCAGTTTAGGCAAAAAAAGCGCCTGTACTGAGTACCAAGTACCGAGTTGTACCGACAGACGCTTTTTTGCGTAAACCGAACGTAAAGGAGCGTACGTTCACTGGATGTAATAAAAGTTCCATAAACTCCTATTCTCCTTTATATGTCATCAATATTAACCCCATGTGTGAGTTCCATCATGAATTTCTCTTAATTGAATTCAAATTTGTTTTTAAGGTTTTGTTTGGGACAACTTTTTTGTTGCTTCTTAAAACAACTTTTTAGTACAAATATTAAATTTTTTATACTAAAAAGCTGCTTTAAGAAACAACCAGAAAGTCATCACATACGAAACCTAAGTGATGCTAACAATACTAGTAAGTTATTGGCAAGTAAGCTAAGAAGCCAAACGATAAAAGTTAATAAGTATGGAGGATAAGTAAAAAGTTCTATTATCTCATAGAATATCAATAAAATGTCTCTTTATAATTTGTTTATAGGTTAAAAGGACTTCAAGAAATACTTATAATAAAATATAAAAAGTAATACAATATGTGGTTGTTACACGTGCAAATATGTGGACTAACTACATGATGTGCATATGAAACCCTTTTTATAACATAGCGTCGTCCTCTTTAGGCTAGTGCTTTGGGCGAGTGACATAGTCGAGCCTTTAGAATATAGGTTTAGGGCAACTCCATGCAAATGATTTCCTAGGAAGAAAGTGGCAAGTTCCTAAGGGCAAATATCTATGTGAGTGAAGGGTAAGCCCCCTTGACAATGATAATTGCATATTAGGGATGGATTCACTCAACAAAGCCACATTCTCCTGTTTAGATGTTTGCACTTCATGCAGCTTAATTGGGGATGTCTATGATAGACAAATGGCCTTGATCACAAATAGCTATTGTGAGTGATCTAGTTTAGTTTCAAGGAACGATCATTAGGGCATAAATAGGTCTAAACAAGTTCTTGGGGGTGACTGTGACACCTCAAGATCTAATAGAAGAATTAAATCTTTGAACCTATTTCTCAACCTTAGTACAAAATAAAATAGAGCCAGCTAAAAAATTCAAAATAATATTAATAAACCAAAATATCATCAAATTTTATTTCTCAAAATCATATACACAATAATCCATTTCATATAGTGACTATACATCGAAGTAAATGATTGAATTACCACAATAACTCAAAATCTCGCTACTAACGAACCTACTCTTATTAAACCTACTCCACCGTAGCCTTTTTTCCTGAAATATTAGAGAAATATCATAGAGTGAGCACAACCAACTCAGCAAACTCAGTTCACTTTCCTATCACGGATGTCAATATCCATTAAAATATAAAGAGTAAATCAATCAAATATTAGGTAAATCAATAAAGTATGAACAAAATGCTAACATAAAGAAATTTGTATAAGAGTATGACGTAATTAGGTTTTAGAATATTAATTAAAAAAATTTATCTAACTTTACAAATAACATTTACTTATGTATTATTTACATAGATACTTTTATAGGATTATCAAAATGTACTTGATTTTAGAGGAAGTACTTGTACTTTCACAAATTGTTTACCTCATTGAGGCATTAATCATATTAGAACTTGCTACTAGAACATTTTTTACACTTATTTTTATTTAAATTATCTAAAGCATAAAATGCCTTAATGAATTATATAGATGTCCTGATATCTGCTTATAACTCTTCTTTCATTTATGTCTTCCTTTAAACCTCCCACGCCCGCATACAACAAGTGGGGTCAAAATAGAAAAAAATAGAACATAACAACCTCCCACACCCGCATTCAACAAGTTAGGTCATAATCCCTCCCATATAGGGGTGTCAATTTTGGGTCACGGGTCGAGTTCGGGTCAAACCCGGAATTGACCCGGCACTATTCGGGGTTGGGTCAACCCGACCCGACCCGTTTAGAGTTTAAGGATAGCGCATCAGGCGGGGCAGCTGCAACAGTGACGGCGGCCGACGGGGCAGCGGCAGTAGGCAACGCGACAATTGGCGATGCGCGGAACGACATTGCAGTGGGGCAGCTGGCGCAGGGCAGCGGGACAACTGGGTTTTCAGGTCATTCCCGGGTTCCTGGGTCAACCTAAACCCGACCCGATTTTACAAACGGGTTGGTTTTCAGGACTCGAACCCAACCCGCTTCGGGTTCGGGTCAACCCAAACCCGAAATTTTCGAGTCAAGTTTTCAGGTCGGGTCCAATGTTGATACTCCTACTCCCACATCCATACAAGGTAGATGGGGCCAAAATAGAACATATAGGGCATTTGTATCATTTCAGAGAGTGCATTTATGACATTTCGGATATTAGAACTCCAATGTCTTGCGTGAATTATAAAATTTGAATGAAATAACAAGTAATTATGACTTTAAACATAGGCATGATAATATATGAGTTATTAGAATTAACATTGTATGTCTAATATCTTCCTCACTTAACATTTTTTTTCTAATTTTAATTTAGAAGATTATTCATATTAGCATTTTAAGATTTTTCATAAAACCATCAAGACTAAAAATAAAAAACCTCATTTATTTGATATGCCCAAAATCATCATAGAGAAAATCAACCGATAAAAATTCAATATCTTATAATCAAAATACTCATATTAAAACAGACTACACTATACAAAAAAGTTACATAGTGAACACATCTAAAATCTGGGAAAAAAATGCATTTTTATCAATATGATATTATAAAATTATTAAATTTAAAATCACAAATAGGTGTTTAGAAGTTTATCTCGTACTCTACAAAATTCTTAACCAGCTTCATGAACAAATCCCAAATTATGACCTCTGAGTTACCCTCTTATTTTTCTCTTCTCCTTTTTCTTCTCTAGCAGCTAAGAGTTTTTTTTTTTTTTTTTGGGGGGGGGGGGGTGAAATGGATATATAATTTAGAATATATATATATACATACACCATTTTTATCTGGCACTATGACACTCACTTCCATAGCACTGAAGCAATGCTCCCAGATTCATCAAATTCGAGAGCTAAGCACTGCGGCAGTGCTACCAAGTGCTTACCTAAATAGATCGGACATTAGCGCAGAGTTGTAATGCTGGATGGTATTTTTTTCCCATAGAGTTCTCTCTTCCCCTTTTCAATTATTACCCTTATTTAGTGTCAATTAAACACTCTAGATCTTAAAATAAAGTAATAAATCAGGATATGTGGGAATTTATATTAAATTACTTTGATTTACTAGATCTTAAAGCAATGGAAATTACAATATCTCACCAAGAAGGAAGGAATGCATCTATGATCTGGTCTCTTAAGACTTGTCTATACAGTACAATCTCTCAGTGGAGAGTGGTCAGTTGACCCAAAGCTGGCATCGGCTACTACTCTAGGTTCACATTTCTTTTCAGATGAGTGTTATGTTAACCATGTGATCCTCCTTATCAAATTTCATGATGTGGAAAAACTAGATACATGCGAACTACCCTTATATGCATGTATTAGTATACATACTTCTCTTTCAAAGTCCAATGATTCTTGTTATGAATTCTTATGCTTCAAATGTGATTGGTCAGTCAAATATTTCCCCTAGTGAGCTATCACAAACTCCTCTGCTCTTTCACACTTCTTCAATCTCATCATTACATGCCATAATTGAGCTTCTATCATGAAATCCTCTTCCCCTCGTATGTCATCCCTTTGTCAATGCATGCCCCCAAGTAGTTCCCATCTTGAACTACATAATCCTATGCTTTCTGAAGATCCCATGAGGTTTTGAACTAAGTGAACTTCGAGTGTTAAAATAATGATGTTCATATGAGAGTTTGAACAATTTGTTGAAAAACATACTGCATGAGATTTTGAATGGTGAACAACGAGTGTTTAGATGATGTACTATGAGGAACTTTTATTCGGTCCAGTGAACGTGCGCTCCTCTACGTTCGGCCACCAATGTATACGCGCCACGTAGCTTGACGAAAAGTCGCCGACCCGACCCGCTTTATTTTGGGTTGTAGCACGTGTGGATTTTGAAATGAAATACATCACGCATAGTATGAACAGAAACCCTTATACCTAGTTCTTTACCTTTTTGATTATTTCAAAAAATTTACGGCGATTCAAATTCCTATCACTATTTTCTGCTTTCGTAGTTCTCAAGAACTTCATTAGGATTTGTCCAGCTTCGCCTTCGTTGTTCATTCGTAATCGCCGGTCGGAAGTCTTTTCCAGCAAAAATGCCTGAGGTTAGAAACGATGGACCGCCAAATTTTCATTCTTTTAATATTGTTTATCAGTCTAACAATCTAAAAATACGTATGATTTATAAACGTGCTACGTTTTTTGGGTTTTGTGAAACTCGGTACACGACGTTACAAAAGTCGGTACTAATCGGTATTCGGTATTCGGTGCTGGTGGATAATCTAGGTTTAGGTCGGAAGATAAAAAAACTCGGTTAACTCGGTATTGCTAGTTATTTTATCTTCATTTACTGACTTTTCAAGGTATAAACAGTCAGTAACTTATTTCTATACTGAAAACCAAGTTATACCGAGATTAAAAAACTCGGTATAACTCGGTATTTTTAGTTATTTGTTCTTCAATGATCGAGTTTTTAGTTATAAACAGTGTTCTTCAATTTTGTAAACAGAATACCGAGTTATACCGAGATTAAAAAAGTCGGTACAACTCG